TGCACCCAGAACACAGTGCCGTACTAGCAGTATTAGCTTGCCAACAGACGGGTGCAGTACATTGACCGAATGGCCGTTTGTCATAACACTTACGAAAGTATCAAATACAGCTACCATCATATTGTCCGATCAACCGAGCGAAATTGGTGGCTTAAATCTAGGTTAAGGAAAACACGGCGACGAAAAGAAACGTCGAGGAATAACAAAAAATAATCGAAGGGTGAATAAGGCTGAATCGGTTTTCTCAGCTNGTAACAGATAGTGGAAACTTACTACAACTGGGGTAACAACAGCAGAATACAGGAATGTGAGTTCCATTCAGAATCAATCTAAACATCGCCTATTAAGTGGAAACGCGAGTCGTTCTGATCCCGAACTCGACCTAACGCTGACCCAATTTATCCATTAGATATGATCAAGGTACGTATCACGCTTTCTCTGCAGTCAAGTGGGGAGAGAAAAAACAAGACTGGAAACGGATGAACATATGATTCGGTCGAACTTCGCGAGTATTGACATACATAAGTCGGTAAATAAACTATGCGAAAATAAAACAGAATAGTGAATAATGATCACGAGGGAATTGGAACGAAATAGGATAGTCGAAACAATGAGATTAGGCAGAGGAGTGAAGGGGTGGGTTGGGGCAGAGATGAGTAGCAGCGCGCACACACACACACACGCATAAAACAGTGTGATGGGATGAACTCATTTACATGAAACACATACAGGTTGAGTGGGTGTGAAATGTGAATGTGCGGCGGCGGCGTAGCAGGGGTGAACGGATGGACAGTTTGGCAACAGAACATAAAACATACACAGAATCGTCAGATTGTTCTATAATAAACTAAAATAAATAAAAATGAAACCAGCCGATCAACAGGCAAGCAAACAAACAAGAGAAACGCACCCAATGAAACAAACAAACGAAGGCACAAAATAACGAGCTCGGGTGTCAGAATAAAACATTGACTGATGAAGTGACAGAAGGGATGTAGATGGATGTTTCCATTGCTGGATGTTGAGAGAGAGCCTTGCAATTGTTCGCGCTCATTAGCAATCATCTTAGTGTGAGAACATCTACAAAAGTCCATAAGCAAAGAAACAAGAAGAGAAACAGGAAATTTCCATAATACAATATGAGTAATGAATACCAACCCTGAAGGCAAGTAGCGTAAGATGTGGTCGAAACTGGGAGACAGTGAAAGAAGACGGAAGGACACGTATGCAAAAATAGCTGAGCTCAAGAACCACAGGAAGAGAGTAGAACGTGTTCATGGTCAGGGATTGATGGGGTACTGATGAAGACCGGCTTTGAGGTTGGCAAGGTAAATTAGTGAAATAAATGCTAGAGGTTCGTCTATAGTGTCCGTTCGATAACCGCCACACCAGCATAGCTTCGGCCAATATGCATTTGACTGGAAAGCAGTACCCAAGTGTTTGTAGATGGATCGTACTTTTCCACAGAAGCCAGATTAGTGTCGCCATCTTCACCACCGACAACATAAAGACAACCATCATGGGCGACAAGACCTGTGGAAGGGCACATGCGTTAACAGATAATAATAATAAAAATAGTAATAATAATAATAATAATGATACAGATTCAGTATCAGACACGTAAACAGGTTAATTCAAATTCAGTCACAGAGGAACTGCGAATATAGCAGTAGGGGCCCGTTGAATAGATCCAACGGCAAAACTAACGGATGTGTAAGACCTCGAAGAGACACAATGNGACACAATGGATTTCGTTCAAAATAAACACACACATAGAACAGCAAATAAAACCGTAAATAGTCTCTTTCTGTTCGATTAGCAATCAGTTTCAAGCACTCCATTCAATGTGTCCTACGCTTTTTCGTTGGGATGGACTGACACAAGAGCAGGCAGAAAAACCAGGTATGTGTATATGCGTGTGCGAATAGCAGATCGGATAATGTTTTTAAATGTTAATTTCAGGATGAATAAGCATGCAGGTACCGTGATACGTCTAACAGTATCCAAATCCGCATCGTGAACACCTAAAAAGAAGTCAACTATCGATTTAATATATCGCCCACGATGAGCGCTAATCTAGTTCTTACGATTTACGTTTATTTCTTTAAGAAAAAAGCATATCCAATAGACGCAAGACCAGGGATAGGAAATCAAAATGGATATTCGCTAGATTGAGATCAGACGAACGCGTCGTCAAGTTAGCTTGGTGGAAGCACACGGAGTTGAAAAGAACACAAAGGATGCTGGAATAATGTCTTCTACTTGTGTTGAAACAGGAAATCATTTATCCATTGTCTTAAACTAATGTACTGATCCCTAAGCTAATGATAAATTGTATACAAAAGGAAATTACATTTTTCCAGATAAATGTACAGATTGCGAATGACTACATGGATCCAACCCTAAGAGTGAAAATCAACTAGCTGCCCTTCCAGTGGTCCAAGATTCCTATGCAATGCACGAGAAAGTGGATTCGTCATTATTAACGCAGCGATCATATTGCTCAGCGGGAACTGTGTTCCCAGTGCATTTGTCCACAGAGGCGCATAGAAATTCCCCGTGTTAAATCGAAATACGTAATCGATTCCTTTCTCGAATGCGCCTTGCAACGGATGAGGGCCAATGAGGGAACGTTTGTTGAGTAGAACACACTTCAACATAATCAGTATAGCTCGTAAACCAGAACGTGAAGATGGGCGTTGCTTAGGCAA